AATAGGTGGGAGGAAGAACAGGTTAGGGAGGCAGGGACGAGCTGGACTGGTTTTGGGATGCGGTAGGGGGAGGGGAGATTTTGAAGCTTGAGAAGTCCACATTGATACCATTGGGCTGCAGGGTTCCCAAGCGGAATATGAGTTGCTGTTCCTGCAACCTTCGGGTAGCATCATTGTGGCACTGCAGGAGGCCCAGGATGGACATGTCGTCTGCAGAATGGGATCCCAAAACCAGCCCAGCTCGTCCCCGCTTCCCTAACCTGTCCTTCCTCCCACCTATCCCCTCCTCCAACCTCAAGCCCCACCCCCATCTCCTACCTACTAACTCATCCCACCCCCTTGACCTGACTGTCCTCCGGACTGATCTATCTCCTCCCTACCTCCCCACCTACACTCATCTTTACTGGCTCCATCCCCGCCTCTTTGACCTGTCTGTCTCCTCTCCACCTATCTTCTCCTCTATCCATCTTCTATCCGCCTCCCCCTCTCTCCCTATTTATTTCAGAACTCCCTTCCCCTCCCCCATTTCTGAAGAAGGGTCTAGGCCCGAAATGTCAGCCTTCCTGCTCCTCTGATGCTGCTTGGCCTGCTGTGTTCATCCAGCTCTACACCTTGTTATCTAAGCTCAGCTGTGTTGGCAACAGTGCAGATACATTATACTTCAGGATTTCTAGGCTATCAGGAGAAAATTCAGCTCAATGTTCTCACATTTAGTCACTGTCCAGTGGCTCCTACTAGGAACGGCATGTACTTGGACATCATGTCAAGTTGCATATGAACAGTCTGCTGGTATTGATCCTCTCGGCTTGCATGAAGAATTGTCACTTGGGTGAGGAACTACCCAATGACTGATGCTTGGTAAAAGTCTGTAGAAACAGGGGGAGAGAAGTGCAGTGAAGTAGGGGAATCTGGAAGAAATACAGAAAAGGAACACCCAGAAATAAACTTGTAAGAATCCAGCACTGCGTTCTACGAATTAGGTGAGAAAATATAGCTGTTTAATAGATTACAAGGGAAAATGACATTCTTGCAATTTTATTGTCAATGCTCTGATCCCACTTCACTACCAAGTTCCAGATTAAACAACCAAACTCTCACAATATCAGGATTAAAGAATTTCTTTATCAGTGGATGGAATAATGATGGAAGCACAATACCACACCTCACAGAGACTGAGTTTTCATCCAGGGGCTAAGGAAAAACTGATACTGTTCACTTTTCCTCACTGCCTGTAAGGTTCCTATCAAGCGATCAGAGAGGCCAGTGCCTGCAGGCAGTGTCCCACTGCTACTTGAATAACTACTTTATGATGATCACCATCAACTGATATCACAGTTGATAGATAAGTCATGCACGATGTGACATATCTTCAGGGCTTTTCTAAGGTCAGGTTTGCTGGTAATTTTTTAGTGCCATTAGTACTCTGCGAAATCAGGCTCCACGTAACCCATCACCCATAATAAGCAGTCTCCGAAATAAAACAAAAAGCTATTGTACTTACAGCGAAACTTCAAACAGCCAGTCACTTAACTGACCATTATCAAGAATCTCACATCTATTTTGAGGACCTGCAACAGTGCTGCTCTAACTAAACCTTTTTCGCAGAAATATGTACTATTACTGCTTATAAATACACACACATTGTTATATATAACTGTAAATACCGAAACATGTCAGGTCCTATACTGACTTGAGTATGGGTTAGTTTGTTTTTTTTTCAGATTCTCGATGAAAGACAACCTCTTTAACAAGTAAACAAGCCTGACTGCACAACGTCTAGGAGGCATACAGCGCTTACCTGACACTCTTCTGAAAACAAGTGAAAATTTGCGGTCAATTGATGTAAGCTCGTTTTCAGGAATAAAACAGTCACATTGGAACACACAGTTGTTCATGCGTTGCATCTCAACTTGTCTGCTTCTAAGGACATCTGTCTCTGGAATATACTGATTCAGGAGAGGGAGAAGGAGCCCGAAATATGTTTGCCATGCATATAAAATACTGCTTGCGTGCTTTAGCGGGACAACAAACCAACTGCCAAACGTACTGAATAATTTCATTCAAATTCAACAACTCGCCAGAAAAGTATTCTCTCGTATGAAACATCAGCAGCAAAACTCTCCTGCTCCCCCACTGAAAATCCACTGATCCGCAAGGACGAAGAGTTTAAGCGTTGAATAAGGTCCTTCAAGCAGTACTTAAGTCCCCTGGGGAGCATTTTTTTTTCTCATTTAAAGTAGATTGTACGATAAAATAAAAATAAACCAATGATATCTAGAACGATTTTGGAAGTTTTTCTTGCGTAGGAATGTTTTGTTTGCTGTGGTGCAGGGAAGACGGTTGCAGGAGGAATTATACTTGAGCAGAGAATCATTGCCAACATTTGCAACACAAATTCCGTCCGTGGGTATAATACTTTCGCTCCAGCAGCTTCACAAACTTTTCCATGTATTCGCGCAGCAGGAATGGCAGAAGTGCCAATTTGCGCGGACGAATATAGTAGTCCTTCAGAAACCTACTCCTGGCACTTTGACCAGTCTCTGACCTACTGTATGTTCAATGATAAAATAAAACAGCGACCCAATTGGTCCAAATAATAGTTTCGAATGGGTGTGAGGGTAGGGGGTGAGGAAATTCCAGGAGATGAGCCAACTAAGTATCACAGTTCTTTATTCGCGGTGACACAAATAATTGTCCTAGCAACATGCTTTCACTGAAGGTTGTGTAATAACTAAGAGCTTTTATTTTAGAAAAAGCTGACTACCCTGAAATGTATAATTTGTCACAATTGTTAATTTATTTTAGTAGAGAACATTTGGGTAATAATGGTTCAGTTGTGAGAAACTGATTATCTAATTGTAAAATAAACTTTCCAGAATGTTTTCTTTTAACGTGGAGAATGGAATTGAAGCCAATTTGGGAATTTGGCTGCAATGTTGTGTCTTCATCGACCCTTGATCCCCTGCTTCCATAGAAAACGTTATGAAGCATTTGTTGTACCTAACACACTTGTCAGTTATGAAATCATATTGAAAAGATTCAAAGTAATGAGGCATTCAAATGGAAAGAGAATGACAATTTGATTTTAAATATATAGACTGTTCATATATAATACATATTTATTGATTAGTCAGTGTGTCTTAAGAAAGGTGATCACAAATAAAGACCATTCTCGTGAAGTTGTAAAGAAATTTGTGAATGTATAGATGATATTAAAGCTATTAATTATCTTACAGTTATTAACAGCAGGGTGACTAAACAGAGCAAGTGCTTTCAAATTTAAAAAAAATGTCCTTTCAATGGAATTTAATTTTTGAATGATCTGTTCTTGGGCAAAGTTGGATCAAAGAACTGGGCTTTTTGCAGGATATGCAGAAACATATTCCATAAAAATACATTGTATGGGGACTTTGGATTTAAATTTCTGAAACCAATTCTGAATGCCTGTCAGAAAGAATATTCTGCATGTTGCAAATACACGTATTATATATATATATATATATATATATATATATATATATGGTTATCAGGCTTTAGCCTCACTTGCAGTCACCAGGCAAGTTGAAGGGAATCCAAATCAAACATCCTATTGAAGTTAACACAATTCAGTGAAGGAACACACGTCTGATTCATTACTGCACCAGAGTGTAGTGGCTGCTGGGGCATTGAATAAATTTATTGAGGAGATAGACAGATTGTTAATTAGTGATGAGTCGAAGGGTTGGGGACTGTGGGCAGGAAAAGCGGAGCTGAGACCAAGATGAGATCAACCATTCTCGTATCAAAGAGCGGAGCAGACTGGCAGGGTTGAATTCCCCACTCCTGCTCCTATTTCTTATGTTCTATTTACTACCCATAAGGAAAGTTGTGGAGGACGATGGTTTCGGAGCAGCAGTCGTCTTACTTAATGGTCCATGATGACCTTCTCCTGCCTTGATACTGCAATATTCCAACACTTACTGTGCCTCTGCTCTGCCATTGTCCATTGAGTTGGATTGACCAGTTCCTACATCAACTTACAATTGAATCCTGGAATTCAGATTTCCACTTTAAAAGAAGCCTATTGGTTGGAGTGGATAGGTTTTTTTGCACTCTCAAAGGCAGCATCTTTTAAAATGGCATGAGTTACAATAAAATATTGATGCCCCAGTAAAACCTTAACTATCCTTTTTCTTTAGTAAGCCTGTGTATCTCCTCTCCAGAACCCTCTTGTCCTCTAATTAGTTTAAAGTCCTCACCGCAGCCCTAGATTTTCAATTTGCCAGGACACTGTTCCCAGCATGGTTCGAGAGAAGCCTGCCCCACCAGAATAGCTCTCTTCTATCCCAGTACGTCAAGTGTCTCATGAATTGAAGCCTATTCATCACACACCAATCTTGATTTAGCCTATGCCAGATTTCCCATCACTCAGGTAGTTAGCCCAAGATTATTACCTTGGAGGTTTTCCTTTCCCTTACCCTTCAAAGTTTTCCACAGGAAACTCCTTTCTCATCTTTTCAATATCAGTGGCACCAAATGGATGACAACAACTGGATCGGTCACCTTCCACTCCAAGTTCTTCTCCAGCCCTGAGGTGATCTCCTTAACATCAACTTCTAGGATGAACTGCTGCAAAAATATACCAGAAAGAATATGCCTATTATCTGGAAGGTGTGAGGAATTGAGGGTTATATATTAAAAGTAGCCATGGGAACAAGACAAATGATCTTGGAATTCAGAAGATTGAGGGGGGATCTTATAGAAACATATAAAATTATGAAGGGAATAGATAAGATAGAAGTAGAGAGGATGTTTCCACTGGCAGGTGAAGCTAGGACAAGAGGGCATAGTCTCAAGGTTAGAGGGAGCAGATTTAGGACTGAACTGAGAAGGAATTTCTTCACCCAGAGGGTTGTTAATCTATGGAATTCCTTGCCCAGTGAAGTAGTTGACGCTACTTCAGTAAATGTTTTTTAAAAAAAGGTAGATTTTTTTTGAACAATAAAGGAATTAAGGGATACGGTGAGAACACGGGTAAGTGGATCTGAGTCCACGAAAGGATCAGCCATGATCTTATTGAATGGCGGAGCAGGCTCGAAGGGCCAGACGGCCTACTCCTGCTCCTAGTTCTTATGTTCTTATGTGAATACTCATCATAGTCAATTGCTGTAATTACATTGTACCTTATTCACCAGGCATTAACATTATGCTGATGCCACAGTTATTTATAATATTAATGACTTGGATAGTGAATGTGAATATAGTATTGCCAATTTTGTGGATGACATTAAAAAAGAAATGGCAAGACAAGTAGTGAGGATCACACAAAAACAGTTTAAGTGCATGAGAGAAATGTGAGGTTGTGCTCTTTAGCAGGACGAACAGAAGTGTTGAATATTATTTAAATAGTGAAGGGCTGAAGAAAGCCGCAGCGCATAGGAATTTGGCGTCTTTGTGCCTGATCACAAAAGCTATCATATTAGTTCAGCAGTTAATAGGAAAGGCAAATTGAATGATGGATTTTATTTCAAATGAAACAAAAACCCAGGGAAGAGTCGCTAAAACTATATAAGGTTTTTGTCAACTCACACCTGGAATATTGTGAACAGTTGTGGTCCTCCTATATAAGGAAAAACATCCTGGTATTGGAGGTATTCTAGAGAAGGTTCATTACATTGATCCTGGGCATGGAAGAATTTTTTTTTATGAGAAGAGATGGAGCAGGTTGGGCTGGTACCTATTGGAGTTTAGAATGAGAGCAAACTTATTGAAACATATAACTGTTAGCGGGCTTAACAGGGTGAAAGCTGAGAGGTTGTTTCTCTTGTGGGAAAGTGTAGGACCAGAGTGACAAAATCGCACATTACAGTGTTGCTAATTTACAACAGAAATGAGGAGGAATTTCTTCTCTCAGAGGGCAGTGAATCTGCAGAATTCCTTACTGCCGAGTGATATTGAGGTTGAATCCGTAAGAATATCAAAGGCTGAGTCAGACAATTTTCTAATCAGTAAGAGAATCAAGGCTTATGAGGAACAGGCAGGAAAGTGAAGTTGTGGAATATCAGATCAGCCATGATCTCATTGAATGACAGAGCAGACCCAATGGGTCAAATGTCCACTGTTATGCCTTTTACCATCCAACAGTTAGAATTAATTACTTATCGAGAAGCTTTCCCCAAGACAATATTTAATTTTATGGCAGCCCTCTGGTAACATTTAGTGGTGGGGTGGGGAGTAGATGGATCGGACAATGAATTGTGGAGAATGAAGGCTTTCAGGGTGGGGAAATGATTGATGGGAATATAGTATCAGGTATTGCATATCTATTGTTCCTCATTCTAATCAAGTTTATTTTTTTAAAAAGTATTGAATTTAGATTTCATTGCTCATCTTAGAAGCGACTAAATAATACTATGTGGGTTAATTCTGCCCCACTCATCAATACCAAGTTTTGTACACTTTACAATTTAGCTAACACCTGAGAAAGATGTTACTATTTATTGTTGGCACTTAAGTTGAGTGATCATCCAGGATAATTGAAATACGGTTCTGTGGGCTTTTGTGGCAAGGTGGTAGTGTCCATACCTCTGTACATGAAGGCCCCAGTTCAAATCCCATCTGCTCTAGAGGATGTAATAATATCTCTGAACAGCTTGATGATAAAATATCCCAAACATGGCTGTCACAAATTTTGCTGTGGAACTATACTGCGTGAACTTAACGAACACAGATTCTATTGCTTTGCACTCTTCTATGTCTGTGGACCTACCTTAAATGCTGCACATGCCACAAATACTTTAATATATTATTCTGGGGTGTGTGTTAACCTAGCAACTACCATTGTGCTACATGATGTATCTGTACAGGAGGGCACCCTGCAGCTAAATTGTAGCACTGCAAATCCTTAATACAATTGTAAGATTTCACCAGGATTATGTACACCTTGGAGCATCACCAAAACCTACCCCACATGTGGATATTCAAACCTCTAGAAGCATGGGACACAATTATATTTTTATCTTACATAATACATTGAATTGAATAGGACGCCCTAAGCAACAGATATGTTCATACGAAGTGATTTAAGCAAACTATTTCTTCTGTAACAGACCACAGGTGTTGATTAGTAATAGAGCAGTTCATACTACTTGTGAGTTTTATACACTATTTCATTCTCAACTGGACAAATCTCCTTAATAATTTTCATTGCAAGGGTGACTGCCCCCTCCATTTATTAAATAACAAGCCTCAAGCTTTAGTGCTAACACTTGTCTTTTATTTCATTATGTCATTATTCTGTTTGTTGTAATATGTATACTTTGGATCAAATAAAATAAATGAAGGGCTTGTAACAGGTGAAGATTTAATTAAGGCAGCAATAAATTCTTGCCTAATTGGCTGCACCCACCTTCAGTTTTCAAATAAACCTGTTGGACTATAACCTGGTGTCATGTGATTTCTGACTTTGTT